TTGTAACCTTGATGCTATATTTGCTTGTTTCAGCTCTCATTCTCTCACCAGTATACAGTGTTTTCCAGAGGCTAAGTGATGTTTATTGACGTTATCACTCTTGGCTAATAGAGTATGTGCTGCTTTTTTTTTTTCCCCCAATGTGCTTCTTTATTTTTGTTTTTCCTAGAATTTTTAAGGTAGTACTTTAAGGTATAAATACGGAAGTTTTTGGTGATGAACTTGATTTGTTCTCATCACTTCTGTGCTCTTACTAGCTTTCTTCAGTATATCTGTTGTAATTTCTGTAAACCTCAATATTGTCCAATAAATAGTTATTTTAAAATCCCAACATTTTCCTGGCACCTTTGAAGAAACACAAGAAGTAAGTACAACTTCCAGCACTTACTTGTAAAAATTTTGGGGAAAACTAATAATTCTTAAAGTTATATTTATAACTTACTTTAATAACACTTAATTCTGTTTTATTCTAAAATAGAGGAAAATTCATAGTATTTTTCTTACATTTAAGGATAAATTGTTGGCTTAAAAAAGGGAGGTTGGAAGTTTTGCTTTCTCAAACACAGCTGCTAGCTCTGTTTACTGCAGTTAGAAACGTATCAACAAGTGAAAGGGAGGGATCTACTCTGAAGAAACTTGGCAAAACTGTAAACAAGAAATGAAAAAAAAAATGTAAAAGAAATGAAATCATAATGAAAGTTATCTTCTCATCTTTATAGATGCTAATAATGTAGCTTACTGTGTGTACTTTATTTTTAGTGTTTCCGTGCAGTATTAGGGTGCCGGTTGGCCTTCCGTGGTGGCTCAGACTGTACGGAATCTGCCTGCAGTGCAGGAGACCAGGGTTTGATCCCTGGGTTAGGAACATCCCCTGGAGAAGGAAATGACAACCCACTCCAGTATTCTTGCCTGGGGAATTCCATGGACAGGGAAACCTGGCAGGCTGCAGTCCATGGGGTTGCAGAGAGTCAGACATGGCTGAGCGACTTAACACTACAACTACTACTACAAGGGTGCCGGTTAAGTTGCAGCATCATTCAAGAGCAGTCGTCAGAGATTAAAGAGAAAGGAATTAAGTGTTTTAAGTGTACATACCACAGTCTCTTTAAAAGCCAAAACTTGTTCCCGCGTGTCCAGCTAGAAATGCCAAAGTCACTGAGGCCTCTTTTTTTTTTTTTCCCATTTATTTTTATTAGTTGGAGGCTAATTACTTTAAAATGTTGTAGTGGTTTTTGTCATACATTGACATGAATCAGCCTCACTGAGGCCTCTTATAGGATGAGTTATTGCTTCTTCCGGAGAAGCCCACCCAGTAGCTGAGAGACTAATAAAAAGTTTTGAACAGCTGGCATTCCTGAATGCACACTGGATGAAACGTCAGCAGAGTTCAGGGCAGTGCCATTTCATGTGACTGTGTTGTTGAATTAAAGATTCAGCTGCAAACCTGAAGACTGAGTTAATATCTTATTTATAGAATTTTACTTTCACCTTAGAAATGAGCAGGTATATAGGCATGGCTCAACTTGTATCACCACCATCTATGTGTCAAAAAATATTTTCTCTTCTGGGAATGCTCAGCAACAAAACACAAGTTGTTGTAAATATGCAAAGGGTTGAATGACTTTTTCGGCTCTCATGGTTTTTCCTGGAGCAACTTTGTTTCCAGTTGCATTGTTGGTACAGAAGCATCGCGGCAGAGAAAACTGCTGCTGGCATGAATCAGGGTAGGGGCACCAAACTCTGCTGGTGGTCAGTCATGGACTTTTCTCTACGCATTTGTGGTTTAAAAAAAACAACTCATTGTCACTTAAGAATGTCCTGGATGAAGCACTGAAAATTGTGGGGTTTTTTTGTTAAATCTCAGTCCTCCAGTAAAGATCTCTGATATTCCCAAGTGATGAAATGTAGAGTATCCATGGAGCATTGCTGCTCTTTTTTTTTTTTTTTTTTTCCTGCATTGCTGCTCTTTACCATAGTCCAACTGTCTGGAGAAAATGCTCTTGTGTGGGAGCCGACCCAGCTGAGAGGATCATTTTTACTTGAAATGACAATTGATGGACAAACTATAGTTATTCATACTTCAGTGTTTAGTGGACATCTTCTTGAAATTGAGCAGAGTGAGCCTGTCATCACTGCCAGTGGTAAAATTCAAGTTTTCAAGCAAAAATTAGAATTTTGGAAAACTTGCATTTGTCACACTTTTTTTAATGAGATTGGTGGTGAGATTAATGGAGTATGATTTTTTGATATTGTGTGAACTCCTAATATTTGGAAATTCTGCATAGTCAGTGAAGGAATATTTCCTTGGTTCAGTTCAGTTCAGTTGTTCGTTCCGTCATGTCCGACTCTTTGCGTCCCCATGGACTGCAGCACACCAGGCCTCCCTGTCCATCTCATCCTCTGTCGTCTCCTTCTCCTCCTGCCTTCCGTCTTTTGCAGCGTCAGGGTCTTTCCCAGTGAGTCAGCTCTTCGAATCAGGTGGCCAAAATATTGGAGTTTCAACTTCAGCATCAGTCCTTCAAATGAATACTCAGGACTGATTTCCTTTAGGATGGACTGGTTGGATCTCCTTGTCATTTCCTCGGTTATTGGTAGGTAAAAGAGCAACTCAAAGTGCAAGGTGACCAATGGATTTTAATGTAAAGGTACACAAAAGATTCATTTGATAAAATCGCATATTGCACATTGCAACTACCCTTTAAAAACAACCACTTGTGGAGTTTTGGTCTAGTATCAAAGAAGAAAATCCTCAATATTTGAAAGGCTATTATTAAACTTCATTTTCCAACTACACATCTGTGTGAAATGAGATTTTTGCATCTTTCAGCCAACCTATGGAAACACTAAATGCAGAAGCAGATACAAGAAATATCTCTTTCATTAAGCTTGATGTTAAAGAGATGTCTTAGAATATAAAACTGTGCAACTCTTGTTATGAATTTCATTTTGTTTTAGAAATAGTTTCTGCATTTAAAAAATGGGTTATTTGTGTAAACAGATAATGGGGTTTGTTATTTTATTATTTATTTTTGTTGTTATTTTAAATGAATAAAAATACTTTAAAAAATCAGTTTCAGTTTTTAATAAGGTAACTGTTGATAGCTATGACCCACATAAACAAAAGATCTCTGCAGTCCTCCATAAATTTTTTAAGAATGTGAAGAGTTCTTGAGACCAAAAAGTGAGAAAAACCTTTGTTGTAGACAAAACCTGAGTTGACTGTCCTCGTCTTGGGCTGATTATCTGCGATGACTTCACAGGGAGCCCTTGTTTGCAGTTCCCAGCGCCTGTAATCGCGCCTGCCTGGGCCTCAGGGACTTTGACCCCAGTGCGCTTATTTCCTTCTGATACATGCAGCATTGGCCCTGTCAGATTCTTTGATTGTTGTTTTATCTGTGGTTTGTTTATTTCCCCCTTTTTTTTCTCTTTATTCCCTGATTTTTTTCTTTTTCTCATTTTCCTTTTATTTGTAATCTTTCTCATTTTTTCTTTTTCTATTGTTTAGTTTGTTAGGTTTTTTGGGTGGGGGGGTCTGGCATTGTGTTTTGATTGCATTATAAAATCAGTTCATCAAGTGGATTTCCTTTGGTCTGTGTGAAGTTGTGGTTTGGAAAATACATTTTTTTTTTCATTAAAATTAAGTAATGTTTACATGTAATGGGTTTATTAATGTTCTTTTAAATGAATGGAGATATTGATAGGTATGATTCATATAAATAGAATCTTTTGGGAGATTCAGGTTGTTTTTAATACTGCAAAGACTTTCTGAAACCAAGAAGTGTAAGAACCACAGTTGTAGACAAAACAAGTTAATTCTTCCTGGCTTTGTTGGGTTGATTTCTTGGTGATTTCGTCAAAATTTAAAAAATTTTTTTTTGCAATTCCCAGAACCTTTTTAGTCCTGACTGGGCTCACGAAGGCACTTGCTGCCTTGGTTTGCTGTCGTTCTGAGAAAGCTGGTTCTCTGTGAACAGAGGGACTTTGACCAAAGTTGGCTCGTCTCCTCCTTTGAATACATAACTTTGACCTTATGAGGGTTTTTAAACAGTTAAATTTGATTTCTTTTAAATTTTGAACTTTGAATAGTTAACAGAAATAATCCAAAAAGTTTTTATATGTTCTTCACCCAGCTTCCCCTTATGTTAACATCTTATGTAACCATAGAACACGTATCAAAACTGATAATTAGTCTTGGTATCATACTGTTAACCAGACAACTTCTGCTTTCATCAGTTTTCCTACTGGTGTACTTTTTCTGTCTAGGATCCAGCCCAGGAACCCATATTGCATTTAGTTGTCATGTCTCCATAGTCTCCTCAGTCTTTTCATGTCTTTCATGACATTGACAGTTTTGAAGAATGCTGGTTAGTTATTTTATACAATGTTCCTCATTTATGGTAGTCTGAAATTTTCTCATGGCCTTGTGCTTTGTTTTTTCATTGTAGTCAAATATGGGTAACACAAAATGTACATTAATTTTTAAGTATATAATCCAGTGGCATGAAATCCATTAACAATGTAGCCAGCACCACTATTTGTAGAACTTTTTGGTCATCCCAAACAGAAAGTCTATATCCATAAACAGTAATTCCCCATCTTTCCCTCCCTCGGCCTTTGGTAACCTTTTTTCTTCTTTATGAATTTGTTTGTTCTGAACACTTCACATAGGTAGAGTCGTACAGTATTTGTCTTTTTGTTTTTGGCTTATTCACTTTGCATAATGTTTTCAGGGTTTCATCCTTGTTGTAGCTTTTTAAAAATTAAGTTTTAAAAGTTAACCTAGATTTTACTATGATGATATGTATTAACTTGATATGTTGGAAGATAGGTATTAATACATAGTTGTAATGAGTTCAGTAAAATATTTTAAATGAATTAATAGATTAACGTTTTCTAAGTTTAGGTTACAATACAGTAGCTCTAATCAACATGAGCACAAGCTGTTTGAGGCCCTTAGTAATAAGAGCACGCAGGGTTTTCCAGGTGTGAGAATTGCTTTCGGAGACAAGCAGGGAGTTGGCCATCCCAGTCCTTGATTGGCTGGTTACTGACTGTGACCTCATAATGAGCCTTTGTTTGGCAATTCCCAGAGTCCTGGCTGAACTGCAGGAAGGCAGTTGCTGCGTTGGTTGCAGTGTATCTAGCTAAGGAAGCTAGACTTTAACCAAGTTTGGCTCATTTCCTCCTTCTGATAGGGGCATTGGCCTTTTTTTTTTTTTCTTCCATTAAAAAAGTAATTTGGCTTACTCGGATTTCATTATGACAGTAGTTCGTGTTTTTTTAAGCTTATGTATTGGCTATTGGTCAATTCCAAATTTGAAAACTGCAAAACTTGCATAGCCTCTATCCTTGAAAAACCCTGGTACCCGTAAGAGCTGAAGTCTGGTTGGCCTTAGTGAGTGCCTGGAGCCAGAACACCCAGCAGTCTGTTCCCAGAGTGACTGCTGAGCCCACACACTTGGTTCCTGTTTCTCCTGGGATTTAACTCTTTGTTAGCCCGTTTCTTAGTGGAACTTGCCTGCCGAATCCCAGTTTTATGTAAGTGTACTTTGTTCTCTGGGAAGAGGTTAAGCGGATTTGTGTGTATGTAACAGCGTGTGGACTTTTATCTTTGCTTCATGAATCTTTAAGAGATACAGTTGCAGTAAATATATTTCTAAACTACTTTATTGTTTTCCACCTTGTTTTGTTTGTAGTCATTCTCTCACATAACGAAGCACCTCTCACTTTTAAAAGCTTCTCTTAGTACCACTAATAGTAGAGCTTTGGGCCTCTAGTAGTCACTTGAATCAGCTTTAAGCAAATCTGCTTATGCTCACTTGCTCAGGATCACTTCTCACCAGAATCATTAAAAAAGTTTAATCAAGTGATTACCTTATATCAGTTTGTGTCTACATATAGACTTGGGGAATTATAGCTCTATTTCCCATCACTCAGCAAGTCCCATAATCCTCTGCTTTTTACACAAAGCATATTTCTTTTCAGATACACATGTGGCTTTCACTTCAGTTCCAAAAGTGAACTTGATGTGCTTTTTTCTCTCTCTTCGGCCCCTGGTCTGCACAGAAGACAGACTTTTGCTTTCAAAGGAGATTTGTTCACTCTGTTAGCTAAGGCAGTGACTCAGTAACGGTGCCTCCTGGATGGCCCTCTAAATACATTATTCTGTTCCAAGTGGTTGGGAAACTCTTGAAGGCAATAGACTGATTACTTGAAGAGTAGACAGTGCCCCCACCCATTCCCACGGAGTGCCATTTGCTCCGAGGCTAGTGTCTTTAGCTGTCGCATCATAATAGCCAGCATTTATTGAGCACTTTGTCCCAGACGCTTGTTTAACTAGCTGTTTTACATTCATTAACTCATTTAATCTTTGTGAGATAGTAGATCTTATTATTTCCCCCACTTTGCAGATGAGGAAACAGAGGCCCAGAAATGTTGAGTAACTCTGTTTAAGGTAACAGACTCATGTAGTCCAGAGTGTTTGTTGATGTTAGAACAAGACTTTCCTGACCACGAAGAGCACTTTGGCTCTGGCTTCAGATGTGTCCAGGCAGTAGAAGATAGATACCTTAGGACTAGCTCCCAGAACATGCCTCCCAGGCCGGCTTCAGAGTCCTACGTGGTCTCTCTGCCCCACGTTTTCTTTCTGCCCTGTGTGGCCTGTTGAAAAGGTGGCATGGTGTGGAGATGCAGCTCTCTGGGTTTATCTCTCTTGTCTTAACAGCTTATGGGAAACTTTTTTTTAGCTTTACTATTTAATCCTGGCTTCCGATTTTCCTGTTCATCTCCTGGAATTCCAAGAACCTCTAGGAAAACTGGAGTCTTAAGACCTAAAATTGGTAACCAGCAAGTAAGTAGCCTAGGACAGTTTGGAAGATTTGCCTGTCCTGCTGGGTAGCACCTCACTCCCACCGCCCCCCCCCCACCCCACCCCCCGCCGCCAAAAAAAACTTTTGTTTGTGGCCCTTAACTATGTTTTATCCTTATGAAACTAATATTTTCTTTTTACATGCCATTATGTACCAGTTTCACACACAGAGACCCAGAGCTGCTCGCATTTGGCCTTGACTGCCAAGGACATTGAGCACAGTAGCTGGTAGTGCCAGGACCCTGTGTGTGTGGGGGGGACTTGCCAGTTCAGTCCTGGGAGCTGAACTCTGGCCATCCTGCTGTGGCTCTTTATCCCATTGCTTGGGTAATATGCCACTACTTCCTGTTTGCCTTTGTCAGTCTTTTGGCCTTTTGATCACTTCTCTCTCCTGAAACTATGCCTGTGATCCTCCTAGATTTTAGGAGTTGTTTCTCAGTGAGAGTGAATCTCTGGAATTTCAGTTAACTTGAGTTTGTAAGTTTATGGTATGATTTACTTGCATGTCATTCCTGGTATGATAGTGCCTTTTCTTTTATCCTGTTGAAGATTTTGATTTTATTAACTAAATTCTGAAATTTTGAGCTGATTTTTTTAAGAGCCCAGCGTGGGGCAAGGAAAAAGGGTTGGACTGCTGCCTTTGATTCAAGCATCACACTTCCCCACTTGTACCCCTCTTGCTGCCCCTAGTAGAAAAAGAGTTCAGCTGTGTGATTGTATTTGTGTTCAAACTTGTTTCACTTTTCTAAGATAATGGTTATATGCCATTTCTACGTTATTTTAGAATCCATCCTCTTGTTACAGTGGAAAAGCCACGGACCATGTGAATTATGATAAGAAGCGCAGCCTGTTAGATTTTTTGAGTGGTTCTCCCCTCTCCTCTTCCTGCCGCCAGCACATTTTTATCTGTCCTCAGAGGTGGCTGCTGTTCACACACAGGTGTTCGGTTGTGATGCAGGCCACTGCTTCCTTGGAGAGCGCGTGGCGGTGTTCTCTCGCTAATGAAAAGGCTGTCATAATGGGTTAGGTCCTTAGGGGCTCTGCCCTTCTGTACTTGTATTCCCAGGGAGAAGAATCTCTCCCTTAATTACCGCATCATGCTGGGCAGAGAGGTGTGGCTGCTAATTGATTAGATGACTGTCCTTTGCTTTGGTGTGGGACTGTTGGTGATTTTGTTTTTAAATAAAATAGATTTGAGTCAGTTAAGTGTATTTTGAAGAGACGAATATTTCCTGTTGTCAACCTCATGTCTTCAGTGCCATCCTTATTCTTTAGCTTTGTCATGAGAAGTGCTGAATGGACTTTGCTGGCATTTTGCTGCTGGTGGAAACAGTGTCTTTTCCTCTCCTGCCCCTCTGGCGTGCTCCCTTTTTGTTTGGTAGCATCAGAATCCTTTATTTGGTTCGGTTTTCATTCCCTCCTTCTATCTTGGAGTGGTTGAACCGTGTTCTGAAATATATTTTTTAAGATAGTGTTTAAAAGCAAACACCCTGCCTTGAAACCTCAGAAGCTGCTTGTGAAACAGCCGATAGGGCAGGCTGCCAAATCTACAGTTAAAACCGATCCCTTAATGACAAAATGTCAGACATTGATGTTAAACCTTCGTTATAATTGTGGCGTGAGGATTTTTCTCATTAATAAATGTTTAGGTGCTGAACTCCCAGTTTCACATTTGGAATGCTTTCTGTTATAAAATTCTGCATAGTAAACCATCCCAAAAGAATCTCCTGGGCTAATCTATCTGCTCTAGGGAAGATTTTCAGCACGCCAATCCCCATTCTCCTTCACCTACTTATTTATTTTTTTTAATTTTGGGAAATGATTTTCTTTTGAGTGATGTGGACCAAGTCTCACTAGCTTTATCATTTTTAAGATAGAACTATATATAAAATATGTAAACAACAAGGACCTAATGTGTAGCAAAGGGAACAGTGTAACTACATTCAGTATCTTGTAATAACCTATAATAGACAAGAATATGAAAAAGAATACATATATGTTTGTGTATACACACACATTTAACTGTCACTTTCCTGTACATCGGAAATATCGTAAGTCAACTAAACTTAGTTTTTGTTTTTTTCTTCAATTTATTTTAATTGGAGGATAATTACCTTAAAATATTGTGGTGATTTTTGCCGAACATCGACATGAATCAGCCACAGGTGCACCTGTGTCCCCCTATCCTGAACCCCCTTCCCACCTCCCTCCCCTCAACTTCAGTTTAACCAAAAAAAAAAAAAAAAAAAAACTAGCTTCAGAATTATTTTTATCCCAACAGAGGAGGACTGGGGCCTTAATCTTTATTCCCACCCTGAATTAACTGAATTAACTTTGTTTTTTGTTTGTTTCATTTTTAAGATGATATAGAATCTTCTGTTCAGGGAATTTCTAAGTATTTTCAGGAGTGAGTATTCATTCCTTCTTAGAACCTTCCAGAAGAATTCTGATGCTGCTGGTAGCCTGCTGATTAAGAATACAATTTAAAAACTGATATTAGGGGTACTCTTCCTGCCCCCTTCTGATGCCTATGTCAGAAGCTTTCTCTGTCTCCTTTATACTTTAATAAAACTTTATTTTTTAAAAAAACTGATATTAGTGTACAGCAAGCTATAACACTGATTGAATGAATTGATGAGGGAGACCGGGCTTGACAACCGATAATTGGGAGAGAAAAGGATAAATATGTTAACGTGCCTCCACAGTCGCAGCTGGCACTGAGATTCAGGGCTCTGGATACAGAGCTTCAGGAAGTCCTTCCACACTTCCACCAAGAGCACCCTATTCTGTTCTAATACCCGGGGCATTTTTTCACTTGATTCGCATGACCTTAGCCCCGAACAACTTTTTTAACTTTGTGCTTAAGCCTTTCTTGTATCATCTTTGCTTGTATATTGGGCCTGTCTCTGGTTTCTAGATGGGAATGAGACAAGGAAGACTGAATGACTGATTGTTCAGTGCATCTCCCTGAGTTGATTTCCTCTTAATCAGCATCTCACAGCTCTCATCACAGCCCACTCCATGGGCAGGCGCCCCCATTCATTGACATCTCAGGGTTTAGATAGATTCTAGCAGAACTCATGGTCCTAGCTAGAAGCGGGACCTGGGGATCTCTAAATCTCTCTGAAAAAAACAAAGTCCTAGCTTAAATTGCTCTATGTTCTTGCTACCAGAGGGGTCTTTCCTGGTGGCTCAGTGGTAAAGAATCTGCCTGCAATGCGGGAGAGGCAGGTTCGATCCCTGGGTCAGGGAAGATCCCCTGGAGAAGGAAGTGGCCACCCACTCCGGTATTTTTGCCTGGAAAATCCCATGGACAGAGGAGCCTGGTGGGCTACAGTCCACATGGTTGCAAAGAGTTGGACACAACTTGGTGATTAAACAAGAAGCTTCTAGTAAATTGGAGGGCATAGGCAGACTGTAACTCTAGTTCCTGGATTCGGTCCTGTGTTAGGTAGTATGATTTGTGCTTCTGTCTCCTATTAGATAGGCAGCTTTATTGAAGGCTGGGCTGTATTTTATCCTTCTCCTCATCCCTTTCTTCCCTGGAGTCTATTAGAGAGTGCTTTGCATGTGATCGTCTCAATGAATTACTTGTGAAATAAAAAAAAAAAGTTACAACATGGGTATTATTCTTCACTTACACCACCCTTGGGAAAGTGTGTCCATATTGATTTGTGAATCAGACATCTGTCTATTCAGTTTTTGACCATGTAAGTCACAGGTCTTAATAGGTTCAATAATGACGAAAAAGAACAACTTTTCCAGGATGAGAGGATAAGGAGGGTGTTTCCCCCTATCACTGGATTGTTTTAAGAACCCAGAGAGGAAACCACAGGAGGGCGTGCACTGCTGAGGAAGCCCTGTGTGGCTTCCGGAAGTAGGGAGCAGAGCCGAAAAAAAGCCCTCCTGGCTCGGCTGAGTTCTGTTCTTGTCCCAGACACCCAGCATCTCTGGTTGCTTTGTTGTCTCTGGTTGTAAACTGGCCTCATCTTCCCCGCTTTTGCGATGGGTGAGCACAGGGACACTGTTGGGAGTTTAGTCCGGGGTGGAGAGGTCATGGGGTCTGTATCAGAAGACTGGAGTTATTTTTAGTGGGAGAGCCGCTCAGGAGCATGGCACCGGAAGAACTGACTTCACACCACCTCACACTTGGTGGTGATGCCGACCCAGATTCTTCTGTGAGCGTCTTGGGGGAGACCAGTTCCTTTTCTGAATTGGCCAAGACCTGTGAGGTCAGGGACTGCATTTCCCAGGACTGTTGCTGGTAGGGCAAGAATGAGAGGGCCATTTTCGCCTTTCTCCTTGGTTCCTTGGTCTTCGTGACTCAGGGTGTGAGAGCTCTCGCTGACGCGTGCGGCGCTCGGTTTGGAAGCAGTGCAGAAGAGGCCAGCTGTGTGGGGTGGTGGGGAAAGGACCTGTTGGACTAGTCTGCTTGGACCCGCCTTCCCCTTCCCCCGCTCTGGGCAGGGAGGGTGAAACTGCTGCTTGCTGGCTTTGCCAAATGCGTTTCTCCTCGTGGATGGGCTACCATGGTGGGCAGGCGGGCAGCTTCCCACCCAGGAGCCCCCCACGGAGCTGGGCTGCTAGGGAGTCATGCGGAGAGGGGCGGGGGAGGGGGCAGGTGCTGGGCACTGGATGCGCCACCTGCGCTGCCAGGGGCTCGCCCACTCGGAGCCGCTGAGGCTGAGGCCGCAGAGCCCTCGGGCCTGCTGGGAGGACTGGGTCACCGTGCCTCGCACCCTGTGGCCTCATTCGTGGTGCGCAGAGAGGCCGGGAGTGGTGAGGGGCTGGTAAATCATGGGTAAGTGAAGTCTCGAGAGGAAGAGGATTCTGGCCTAGGGCGCACTGAGTTCAGGGTTGCAGTGTTTCTAAGACCAGAGTTATCACCTAGCTTAACTTGAATTTTCGCAGCCCTAGGAGGAAGAGGTTTTCCAATGTGTGAGCCTGGTGTCCAAGACATGTTAGGTGAGGGTTAGTTACGG